CACTGATGACATTTTCAGAAACACCTGCTGCAAAGTTTTGGTCCCAGCATGCCCTGGGAGCATAACCCAGAATGAAAAGGGGTACAGTGAATTGCTCTCAAATTCAATGGTAGCCATTGATGGGAATGCGAAATTTGGAAGTATGTTGCATTCTTGCACACACAGGGAACATGTACTTTTGACTTTACAAAACTGGGTGCTAATGATGACATTTTCAGAAACACCTGCTGCAAAGTTTTGGTCCCAGCATGCCCTGGGAGCATAACCCAGAATGAAAAGGGGTACAGTGAATTGCTCTCAAATTCAATGGTAGCCATTGATGGGAATGCGAAATTTGGAAGTATGTTGCATTCTTGCACACACAGGGAACATGTACTTTTGACTTTACAAAACTGGGTGCTAAAAAGTCAGTCTTAATAAATTCGAACTTATCTCATAGTGTAGACATGGGCTCAAAAATATTGGGCATGATCCTGTGAGGCACTGAGTCCTCACACCCTGATCCAAAGCATAACCCTTGAGTACGTAGTCTTACTGAAGTACTTTATTGGATCAAGACTAGAGTGTTCAGCACCTTGCAGTTCATGATGTTCGCTCCTATTTCCATCAAGTCAATGGCAAAATCTCAGGTGTCTGAAACTACCACCAACAAAAAATTACATTGTGTGGTTATTACAAAATGCACAGACGAGTCAAATCACTAAACACACATTGAAAGAATAGCATTACAAGAATATATGTGCCATGAAAGAAGTACCAAATAGTAATAATGGCAACAGTACAAGTGAGATGCGTGTGAAAGCAACACTGAAGATTGTCCCAAGCTAGAGAGAGACTGATAAGTTGTGATCTGCAGGATAGAAGTATCATCCTGGGGGCAATAATCCTCTTCTAAAGCTCTGCGATCAATGACTCAACTATTCCTCCCTACGCACGTCTCAATTGTACCACACCTGCACCTGCCCATTGACTCTGATCTGCCTCCCTCCCCCCACAGCACATCAACTTCTGGCTCATGCCCAGGGCGTCCCAGGAGAGAGCCAGGGACATTAAGAGCAGCACAGCCCTCCTCAGATTCACCATCGCTCTCCCGGAGTTTGACATAGTCAAGGCAAGCCTCTAGTGGCTCTTTCTGGAGGGCACTTTATCACAGGGGCCATGATAGTCTAGAAGTAGATCTCGGGGGGGTAAGTCTAAACTACTCCCTTCCCCCCCCGAAGGAGGATATGCAAATTCATTTCCCTGCTCTTGGGCCACTAGAGGGTGATGCAATTCTAGCCGGAGGACTTGGAACATGGCTCTGAACAATTTGCAAAAGCCGTGCGTCCTTCTGGGTTTAGGTCTTCAGAAAGTTCTTCTCTGGGAGCAGAGATTCTTCCTCTGGACGGAGCGCTAGCCATCCATGACTCCCTTGCTGCATGTCAGTCAGGCTGGGCTGGTGCTTGCCTAATTTCTTCTGGGGGAAGCCCAGCAGCTGAAGGGGGACAGGTTAAGCAGTTACATTAGACTCAGGAGATGGGAGTGGAGCCCCAGGCCTCATTGCCATCCTATCACCAATCGCTGGCTTGAGAGCAAGCAGCCTGGTGGGAAATGAGGGTCCATGCAGGTGCTACTGGAAAGGGAGATGAATTCACCTCCACCGGGAGGGAGGCAGCTTGTCCCGAGATGCTCCAACCCAGCTCTTTAAAGGCTAATTAATTACAAGCATTACCTGCTCCTGGACTGAGTCTCTGACAGGTTCTCATTCCTCTGCAGCAAGAGGACATCATGGCCAACGCGATGCACCAGCTCTGCATGATCCAGCACTTGTGCCAGGTGCCCAAGGGGCTTTGTCTCATTGGATGCCCTTCCATATTCAGTAGCTCCCACTCCCTGCTGCAGTCTCTGTCAATGAGGGGCTAGAAGGAGCAGTGGAGCCTCCCAAGCACTGACAAACTCTCTCCTCTCTGTGCAGCAGGGTCTTTCCCATTGCCTCCAAAATTCCTTCATCTGGGGCATCAGCTCTTCCCCTCATCTGCACTCTCCTCCCCTCTTTCCTTGGCCCAACCTCCTCTGCACCCAGAGCTCTCCCTGCCCAGGAAACTACAGACCGGTCAGTTTAACGTCTGTCCCAGGGAAGATAATGGAGCAGGTAATTAAGGAAATCATATGCAAACACTTGGAAGGTAATAAAGTGATAGGGAATAGCCAGCATGGGTTTGTGAAGAACAAGTCATGCCAAACTAATCTGATAGCTTTCTTTGATAAGATAACGAGCCTTGTGGATAAGGGAGAAGCGGTGGATGTCATATACCTAGACTTTAGTAAGGCATTTGATACAGTCTCGCATGATATTCTTATTGATAAACTAGGCAAATATAACTTAGATAGGGCCACGATAAGGTGGGTGCATAATTGGCTGGATAACCGTAGTCAGAGAGTGGTTGTTAACGGTGCTAAATCCTGCTGGAAAGGGATAACAAGTGAAGTTCCTCAAGGGTCTGTTTTGGGACCCGTACTGTTCAATATCTTCATCAATGATGTAGATATTGGGATAGAGAGTACGCTTATTAAGTTTGCAGATGATACCAAACTGGGTGGGGTTGCAACTTCTTTGGAGGATAGGGACATAATTCAAAATGACCTTAGCAAGTTAGAGAAATGGTCAGAGGTAAACAGGATGAGGTTTAATAAAGAGAAATGCAAAGTGCTCCACTTAGGAAGGAACAATCAGTTCCATACATACAAGATGGGAAGCGACTGTCTAGGAAGGAGCATGGCAGAAAGGGATCTAGGGGTCATAGTGGACCACAAGTTGAATATGAGTCAACAGTGTGATGCTGTTGCAAAAAAAGCAAATATGATTCTAGGTTGTATCAACAGGTGTGTTGTAAGCAAAACTCGTGAAGTCATTCTGCCGCTCTACTCTGCACTAGTTAGGCCTCAGCTGGAGTACTGTGTCCAGTTCTGGGCGCCACATTTCAAGAAAGATGTGGAGAAATTGGAAAGGGTACAGAGAAGAGCAACAAGAATGATTAAAGGTTTAGAGAACATGACCTATGAAGCCAGGCTTCATGAACTGGGCTTGTTTAGTTTGGAAAAAAGAAGATTAAGGGGGGACATGATAGCGGTTTTCAAATATCTAAAAGGGTGTCACAAGGAGGAAGGAGAAAATTTGTTCCTCTTGGTTTCTGAGGACAGGACAAGGAGTAATGGGCTTAAAGTGCAGCAGGGGAGGTTTAGATTGGACATTAGGAAAAAATTCCTAACTGTCAGGGTGGTCAAATATTGGAATAAATTGCCAAGGGAGGTGGTGGAATCTCCCTCTCTGGAGATATTTAAGAACAGGTTAGATAGACATCTGTCAGGGATGGTGTAGACAGAGCTTGATCCTGCCTTGAGGGCGGGGGGCACAGAACGGTTTTTGTGTCAGGGCCACAGCCCTAAGCCCCACTGAAGCTCAGCGATCCCCACAGATAAAGGCTCAGTGCTAGCTTCATCTTCTGTCCTTTATTCTCCCCTTGGCCCCTCTATAGAGTCTGAGTGTGAAATGAAGAGGAGCCTCCTACCCAACTGTCTTCCAGGCCCTTGGATCTGTGTCAGCTTCCCAAACAGGTGCAGTCTACAGCTGATCCACCTCAGAGCAGTAGGAACAGGCTCACCTGATCCTATCAAACCAAGCAGTGTTAGATCTCAAAGAGGCTTAGATGAAAGACTCCATTCCTTCATGGAGGGAAGAGCCATTTTATTCCTCAGGGTATGTGGGTCTGTTGGAAGAGAAATGGGATCCCTAATTCACTGTCTGGCTGGGAGTTTCCCCGCCCTCTGAATCACAGCCTTAGGATAAAGACATCTCCATCAATGTTTCAGCCTTGTTTTGTTCCTAGGAAGTAGCTTCCTAGAGATGTCCTGGCACTTGACTCCTGACAGTGTTTCTGACAGGGGTCTCCAGCCCCTCAAGCGTGAAGACAGCATCATGCAGTCTCATTCACATGGCATCTCCACTCTCCAGCTCCACTTCCCACAGCAGGACAAATGAACCCTTCAGCTCACAGAATATGGCTTCTTTGACCTCCTTCCGATCAGCATAGGGGTTTCTCCTGCCCCCTCACCTCACTTGTCAGCCTCTGAATGACGAAGGGCCTCAATGTCAGAATCACCAGAACAAGAACACTCCCAATTCCAGCCAGTGGGGCCCATGTGTACTCAGCCCCTCTGGTAACCTGTTCTGAAATGGGGAGCAAGGGCCTCAACCCAGTAACTGTAGGCCTGATCAAAGCAGGCCTATAACAGGGTGCTTTTCTCCCCCGCCCTGCACAGCCTTGGGCTTAGCAAAGCTGATTACAGAATGAGCCTTACCTGAGAAGCACCATGTACCTCCTTCTAATGGGCCACACTGAAGCACTAATAAAACCCAGCTGGGCTGAAAACTGGAACAAATCTAGCTGCTAGATACAGGGCACTGGGCTGCTATCGGTATCAGAGTGGAACTGGACTCCTCTACTGACTCCAAAGGAGGTGTTTATGTTCCCAGAGAGTGTTACCAAGCTCAGCAAGGAGGCTGGAGGGAAATCAGAAGCCCCAGTGAGGACACAAGGACTTCTTTCTGTGTAAAGTCCTCTTTGAACTTTTAGTGTGAGAGAAGCTAGGTCCCAGAAAAATGGACTAATAGTGGTGATCTGGCCGGAGGCTGAATTACCAGACAGAGAAACTGCCATGGTGCTGGAGCAGACATTAATGGGGGACACTGGCCCAGTGAAAGGGCTGTGATTTCATGCCTGGCTGCTAGGGGACACATAATGAGGAAGAGATTCATTTATGATTGGCATAGTTGGGAGGATTGAATTCCCTGTCATCTCTGAAGGAAGTCTTGGTTGCTCTATCCCTCCAATCAAATCTATCAAGGGACTGAACTGGTCACTGGCTTTCCCATTTCTGTTCTAAGGATTGGCTAAGCACCCAAACAGGCCTGGGTGTTTTTCCAGCAGCTTCAAGAAAACTAACACATATCAGCTACTTAAAATTTTTATTATAAATAAAAATGTCTTACAACTACTAAAAAGATACTGTGGTGAAAACTTTTCAGAAGCCTACATGATGTGTGGGGTTTAATAATATGGAGCCTTAACGTCAACAAAAACACTAACATTTTAGGTATTTAAACTAGTTTTGGGTTTTTTACTTAATTGTTAATGAAAGGTGCTTCCCACAGCTCCTCTTGGATAAAAATGGTGAACTGGAGCCAATGGAAGCCATGAGGTTCTGTGGCTGCAGAGCCTTTAGATAAACAAAGCGGAGCAGCCTGTTAGCAGCTTTCCTAAAGCAGACCCATGGCCCACTTTGAGAAACACTGATACAGATGCTCTTGAATCAAATTAGAATTATAATTGACCTAGAAGGGTCAAGGCTGTATATTCTACTCCACCAATGCAATTTCTCTAGATATGTGTATGAAGAATTAAGAAAAAATATTAGCTCTCCTGTATGTAAAACCCAAAAGCTCTCTGACCAAGATCTAGCAAACCATTTTTAGGGATAGTTTTCAAAAGTGATAATCTTTAAAAAAAAAACAAAAAAAAACATGGCATCAACATTACAGTCTCTTTTCAAAAATACAGACATTCCAGCTATTGGAAGAAATAAATATCACATACAAAACTGCAAAAGCAAACTATTACTCTGGAGTTACAAGTAATATTGTAGAGAGTTTAAACACACTGAAATTAATTGCATGTAAGTGACAAATCTTCAGTTTACACATTACAATATTACTTCCCCGTATCACTGCACATTGTAGTTGTTTCGTGCTCTAATAGTCCCACTTTCAGTTAAGATCCTTATCACATTTGGAATGTCCATGCCTTTAATAAAAAAGGGAGAAGAGAAGATTATTAGCAAGTTTTCAAATCAAATTCTTCTAGTGATGATTAATTAAAAACATACATACATAAATGTACTGATTAAACAACCAGATATTTTCATTAGTTTTGGAGGATTTCATACTAAATGAAACACATTTATACATATTTTATTAGAATTGTCTCAGGAGTCTTAGTGATCAAAATGGTACCAAAATTCCAGATGCAAACAGAAATTATTTTAGGCTTGGCGATGAGAAAATCTGCTTGTGAGGGGGAAGGTAACTGAAGAATTGGATATAGAGATGTAGGAGAGTTCAGAAGCTGGGACTCTTATCAGGAATTTAGAGTAGATGAAAATACATGCCTCCTGATTCAGAGCAAATTTCTGAAAATATTACTGAGAATGAGTAGACATGTCCTTAAGAAGTCTACAAATGCTTCTTATATGCAATAAATCTCAAACCTTAAAAATAACCTATTACCACCATACAGGTTCTCTTTTTTTAAAGAAGGCATGCTTCATTGTAGTCAACTGAACCTTCATGATAGGAAAAACTGTAAACATTAATAAGAGATTACAGGAAAATATTCAAAAGCAATAAAAACTAAGCTCCATTTAACATTTTCAAACAACAAACATTTCTTAGGGATAAAGGTTTAAATAAAAAAATAAAATAAAATAAAATAAAATAAAATAAAATAAAATAAAATAAAAAGATGACGATAGTGTTAAGACAATATTGTCTCATCAACCTCTGTCCTTATAAATCCATAAGATACCTTTTGTCTGTAGAGCCCAGCTCCACTTCACAAGAGCATTTAAAAAATTACTATAAAAAAATTAAGCAGATTACCTCTGAAGGCCGTATTTGTGGCTGCTATTTTTTGTAGAGTTGCTCTAACCTCAGTAACATCCATATTTCTTACACTATTGAAAAATTCAGTAGTGACATCATTTTCACATGATGTTCTCAAAGAGCCAGTTAGAGAGTTTTGGCGTGCGTATCTTTCAGCAGCAGATGAAAATCTTTCATTAGACGTTGTGTTTTGAGAATAGGAGGGATATGGCTCTTCAGTAGCAGAAGACCCATGTTTCCTTGTAGCATGGTTTTTTGAAATGTTCACTGACTGTGAATCCCTTTTCATGAATGTTCCAGTAACATTAGATTTTGCTGCTCTTTTGTCATATGGCTGTTGTGCAGGATGCTTCCTGCTTGACACATAATTAGATGAAAATCCTGCAAGGAAAAAATAAGTTACTTCCACTATGAAATTAGAAAGAAAGAAAGAAAGAAAAAGAAAGAAAAAGAAAGAAAAAGAAAGAAAAAGAAAGAAAGAAAGAAAGAGATCACAGTTGCAAAACTTCATACACTGCAAATAATTCCAAGTTTTACTAATGACATCTTCTTAATTGAAAATTTCAGATGCTATACTTCATAGGAAATGTCACCTGTCAAAAAGTTACATAAAAAGGAGATGCACTGGAATTTCTGGATATTTTTTACTTATTGGTATGACTGTGTGACTCCTATCAGACCAATTGGGTATGACAAAAAAAAGACCCTGTTAGTCTCAAGAACGAACTTTCCTAGAGAAACCCAATGTCTTGTATTGATATATCAGGAGGAAAACCATGGAAGCTAAGAAACTGCCGTGTTCAGCTGCTGGAAAAAGGGAGATTGAATTCATCTAACTACACTGGCTAAGAAATCAATTTAGTTAATTCTACAATTTTTGTGAGTAGACTGGATCTGAGTCTAGTCTGTTCCTGTTTGAGGGGAAGAGAAAGGGGAAGAAAAGATTATGAAACCTTCTTAAATCAGGACTATGGCATCAAATATCATGGTCTTGTTTGCTTGCATGCAATGACCCAGCCTCATCAGTCCTCCTGGAAGTGCAATCCTACTGCCTGCTCTCCAGACTAACACATTTAGATGCTGTAGATGAAGTAATTAGTCCCTATCAATTCAACAACAGTTAGGACATTTTAAGTTGCAAATGTTTAAAATGCATACATTGTTGTACATATAAAGACTAGCATGTGCTTTCAGGAAACACAGAAGTCTTCCATTCATTTCCAGTGGGTCAATATAATGACCATAAATTTAAGAAGTCTCATAAATGTCTACATTTAAATTTATTGTGTGAACAGCCTGTATTTTCTGATTGGTCGATATGCCTTCCTATATCTATGGAGAAATAGAAGCCTATTAATCTAAACTACTCAAACTCAATCATTTAGAAACTCTGCTTCAGTGAGGCAGAAAAAAAATCTAGAAGTTTTCACAAGACTCAATGTGAGGGTTAAAATATATTTAAAGAACATAAATGGAGTCTTAAATTCTTAACATTTTACCAGTGTTAGAGTCAGTAATATCCATCGAAGTCACATCAGATCGTTTTGTAGAACGTTCATTTGTTTTTTCTTGTTTTGATTCAGAATTTAGAGAGTCCTAAAAGTTTTTAAAAAATCGCACATGTAACTTCAAACTATCAACTCTTAAAATTAGGTCAACAGAACTATTCGCAAGAGAAGAAATAGGAACAATATCTTCAACAAAAAACAAATTCCACATTGACCAGTTAAATAAGTAACAGTTTACAAAAAAATACATCTAAAAAATTGTTATGCTATAGTAGAAAACATGTTTTTTAGGGACAGAACATTTGCTTTCACTATGTGCTAGTCCATGGGGGAGGGCACTTCACAAATTTTGGAAGTGGTCGCTGGCTACCTCTGAAGGAGCAAGGACTCAGCCAGGAGAGGACTTGTCCCCTCTAGAGACTTCACATGCTGCCCCATCCTGCCAGAACATGTGGGTAGAGGGAAATGCCAGCTGTTCTGAACACTGGCAGTTTTCTCTGGTGCCATGTGCTCCTCGCAGGGAAAGGAAACTTCGTGTGTTCCCTCCTCACACCCAGGCTTCGACTGGCCTGCGAGCAGAGGAGTGGCAGGGCAACTGTGGGCTGAATCAAATGGCTTGGCAGGCCACATCTGGCCCACAGACTCTAACTTCCCAACCCTTGTGCTAGTCCATAAAACCACACTAAAGCATCCATTTCTCCAAAGAGTCATGTTCATGAAAGCAAGAGCTTTCTGAAATTTGTGATTTCCAGTTGTCCAAAGTACCCTGGGGGATACCTTGGAGTAATGTATTAGGGACAAGATGGAGGCCCAAAAGATCTGTTTTATTCTTGCTTTTGACACAGAGCAGCAAATTAGGATAATATATTTACCAGACTGCTGTAATCCTGCAAATAGTTGATTACATACAGAATCATAGAATACTACAACTAGAAGTGACCTATAGAGGTCATCAAGTCCAGTCCCATGCCCTCATGGCAGGACCACATACCATCTAGATCTGTGGTGTTCAACACGCTAGCCACTAGTCACGTGTGGTGGCTATTTGGTTGGCTGAGTGTGGGCAGTTCGCTATAGTATTAACCACTGTAGTGGCTACTGCTTCAGAACTGGTTGGATACCACAGATCTAGATCATCTCCAAGAGATGTTTATCTAACCTGCTTTTAAATATTTCCAATGATGGAGATTCCACAACCTCCCTAGGCAATTTATTTCAGTGTTTAACCATTGTTAATGTCCAACCTAAACCTCCCTTGCTGCAATTTAAGCCCATTGCTTCTTGTCCAATCATCAGAGGTTAGGGAGAAAAATTTTTCTCCCTCTTTGGTACAGGCAGTCCCCGGGTTACGTACAAGATAGGGACTGCAGGTTTGTTCTTAAGTTGAATCTGTATGTAAGTCGGAACTGGCGTCCAGATTCAGCCACTGCTGAAACTGATCAGTTTCAACAGCGGCTGAATCTGGATGC